TTGTTTTTTTAGAATCTTCCCTTCAAAAGTCCCATAATTCGTGAATTGAAGTCTGACTATAATTTTCTAATGCTTACAATTAAATAAACATATGTTAAAAATTACTCATCTTTATTTCAGGTCGTCGATATACGAGCTGTTGTCGATGTCATTTCGACATTGGAAAAGACGACAGTCACTAAAGAAGTGTTGGAGGTAATGACTAAATAGATTATTGACAATTTTATTATGTATATATATATATATATAATTTATTAATGAGCGATAACTTGTGTTCTTTCATTCTATATATTATGTTCTTTTGCTTTGTAGTATTATCAATAAATGTAAAAATTAAGTGCAAATCTAAATATATATTATAATTGAATAATATATATTATAATTGAATTACAATAAAAACTAAAAAAGTTTATTTTGATCTTATTTTCTTTTATTTTAATTGATTAATGTAATTAATTATTGTATCTGTAATTATGTTTGTTGTATAATTTATTTTATACAAAAGTAAGCTTTGCATTATTTATGCAACTACTGCAAGTTTGATGAGAGTTAAATGCTTAACAAAAGTACTATTTATATACAATATTTTTGCTAAATATAGTTTGTTGATATTATTTACATTAATAGGTTATAATTTCTTATAATGAAATAAGTGAAAACATTCAACCAATGAGGTACATCAATTTGATGTATATCAATTTAATGTTAATGTATGTACATGAATACTTAGCTATTAGTAACTATTATTTTATACTTTACTGTTACTTTAACCATCAAATTGATTTATATTCGACAGAAAGTTTCTAATAATTGATGGGATACCAAAAAGGGGGACCAAAAAGAAGCAGGAACAAGGAATAAAGATAATGTTTTAACGTAATCATTTTTGATAGATTACGAGACTTGGAAAACACATCAATGAACTTCGTCGAAAAACGAGTAATGAAGCCTTGGCCAAGCGTGCGAAAGATCTGGTACGCCGCTGGCGAGACATGGTTTTACCGACGGTACACTCTACGCCGAGTCAGCCTACCCTGGCTCTCAACGGCGCGAAAGAGATGGCCCTGAGGAATTTGAAGCCACAGAGTCCTGCATTGCGAGAGCTTAAGCCTCATAGTCCTTTATCTCTGAAAGATGCCACTCCTCTCAGAGTAAGTTATAAAATTCTCCGAATTTTTATAAGAAATTGATTATTAGGGAAAAGATAGAAACAAAATCTTTCTTATAAAATATTTAATCTTGCTGGTCTGTTAAAATTTACTTACTTATATACAATCATATAGTTTCAATCAATATAATTAAAAAGCTTTAAAAAATAAAATATAATTACATAAAATATCAAAAATATAAAAATAAATACGAATTTGTAAAGCAAGCAAATATAATTTTATCTACATATTTATGTAATGTTTGTACTGAATTATCACATCATATTCTTATTTACTTGATATATTTTAATTTCGAGAATCCACAACAAGTATTCTTTGTTAAAAAATAAAAAAATTTCACAGAAAAATTTACATTACAGACGAAATCATCAAATAGCAAAGAAAAAGTTTGTAAATAAAATATTTGCAAGAAAGTAATTTACCTAAATACGAAAAGTGTCACTTGACGGTCAAAGTTAGATGTTGAACTAATACTAATGTATGTATTCTTATTTAAATGAATTTGTTTCAGCAATATGATTGCACGCCGTTACTGTCGAATTTTCAACGCAATCCATCTGAAACATTAATAAAATCCCCCTAAATTTAATCTTAAAAAACTGTAATAAACTTATTGTGAAAAATATTACTTCGACCAGAAGTCGAAATCGAATCTCTTACATTCCAAAATGTAAAATAATTTACATTTTGAATCAAATAGATTCGAACGAACCATTTATAATATTATTTTATATATATAT